CTCTCTCTCTCTACTTGAAGATCTAGACTCTGAATACATCCGCTACTACCAGGCTCTTTCTCCTACTATAGCTATGCGGCTATGGCTGCCTTCCTTCCTCACACAGCGCTGCGCAGCAGGGCTCTCGCGCATGCCACTCGCAGATAGTGCACAAGCGCTTCAGCGGCACTTCCACACTCCTCGTGAATGAGCAGTCCCCCTCAAATGTGGATGGCCAGTCCTTATATTGACTTGGACTGAGCCTCAACTCGTCCCAGACTCTGTTTCCTTTGGCTTGACTTGGACCCGGTACCACCTGCCCACGGCCTGTTTGCTTCAGAAAATGTCAAGGCCTGGTACTTTCCCGAATTTTCATTGGTGTGCTGCTGCTTGGGCCAGTGAGTCACGACTTCTCACCTGTGGAACATCATTTTTGACTGTGGGAATGTGACTCTTGCCTCTGGGACACGACTTTTGCCTGGGGGAAGTGTCCTTTGCCTGTGGGATATGACCTTTCAATGCGAGACGTGACTTTTGCTTACGAAATGCAACTTTTGCCTTTGGGAGGTGACCCTCCAACGGGTACCTGTTGGACTTGACCCCTGGGGTACCCGACTGTGTGACTTTTCTGAAACTGGCCGACTTGGCTCCTTTTGGCCTGAGATTCTGACTCTGAGTCTCTGAGATACGAATTCGGGGTCTGCATCATGGAATGCCATTCACTGACCTTCTTAATGTTTGGTTCAACCTGTGTGTCCTGCTGCTGCTTGGAAGTGTTGTGGCAAGAAGAACAAAGCATTGGCCCAGGAGGACCTACATGTTCTACAACTTCTACCCTTGGGCGGGGGACAGGACAGCGCAATACACTTAAAATGCTAAGCAATGTGCCAAAAAAATTGGTCCTAGGAAGGATAACAGGGGGGGGGGAGACACTGTAAAAGGGGAGGAGCAGGAATGAGGTGTTTTGGAATGGAGTCCTCAAGTTGTTTTCCATGGCTTCAACTCAAAGCCTGAAAATTTTGAAACAAAGGTAATATGTATGATAGGGGCGTGATTGCTTCTGACAGCGTCCAATGATATGATTTCTGTATAAGGGACACTGGACCCGTTTTCCAGCAGGTGCTGCTTCCCACCAATAGATGGAGTCTCCCCGGGGGTGCTACCGTAGTGGTGTCTGTCTGCTCTTATCAGCACCTCCAGCTACCACACAGGCTGTTTCTTTTTTTTTTTTTTTTTTTTTTTTAAGGGGGTTGTTGGCTTGCGCCTCTGCTTGTGGTCCGGTGTATCCATCCCCTGCTTGTTCCTTTGTCTTGGTGTATTGTTCCATTGCTCGCAGGTATATTGTAGGGCAGGGTTGGGGGGATGGGTTGTGGGACTGTCTCTTATACACATCTAGATGTGTATAAGAGACAGGGGAGGGGGGGAGGAAGTCCACTGACCTGTGACCCCGCTAATTGTGGCCTTGATTGCAGGTTTCAGCAAAAGCAGGCGGGCTGGAGCTCTTGCATGGGAGGACTGCCATATCAAATTTGCTGGAGGGATTTCCTTCTGTGTTGGGATGGAGCCTTGAGGACCAGATGAAGCCTGTTGTCGCATACTTGACGGATGTGGTTAGAGTTGGGAAGGTAGTTGACGATGGAATGCAGACTTCAACGACAGAACAGAACTCTAGCTTGGAAGGACAAGGACAACAAACAGCCCACCATAGCTCTACCCCTGATGAAGAGACGCCATCATCTGAACTTACAAATGGACTGCGGCAAGTTCCGCGTGAAGACCACCAGAGCTCATGTTTCGAGGGACAAGGGGAAAGACCATCTGGCTCGGTAATGGGCGAAGAAGTGCGATCAGCATCAGCATCTGAGCTTATGATCTGCGGTGATGCCGACAGACGGCGAGTGCCGACTGCAGAACGGAAGTTGGATTGGGAGTCGGCAGGACAAGAAACAACAACGTCTGATTCATCGATTGATGATGAAGGGCGGGCAACTCAGCCGTCGGGCGTTGGTGGGGAAGTCGATAGCAAAAAAAGGCGGCATTCAAGTGCAGAGCAGCAGAAGTTAAGTTTGGGAGGAGTACAAGAAAAAACATCATCTTATGGGGCAGTAATGGATGATGAGCAATCGACGATGGGAGAGCCTACAATTACCAGTGAATTGCAATCGGAACCAGATTCAGAATCAAATTCAGCACTTGGGGGGGTGGGGTTGGTGATCTTGTGTTTTCCGTACGTGTTGAAGTACGATCCAGAGAAGGACATTGCGCCAAGGTTAAGAAAACTGAAGAAGATTGGGGTTCGAGCAGGGGATCTTGGGAAAATGGTCGCTAAGTATCCGTGGCTTCTTGGCTCCAGCATCGACAAGAACACAGAGGTGAGTAGAGTAGTACTGAGTACACACACCAACTACTGTCTTCACCCGAATAGAACGCCCGGTAATTATCGCCGTATCTGGGCTGAAAGTTGTGCCAAATACAGCTATAATGACCGGGCGTTCTATTCGGGTGAAGACGGTAGTTGAACGTATAACCTGCGGTACATCACGTGAGCAGAAGATAGATAGATTCAAAAGCCGCGTTCGCACTGGCTGGTGTCGACACGACGGATTCTCATGCGCTTTTGCTAGAGTTGCAAGAGCCATCATGCAGAGGGAACATTGTTGTCTCTGCAGAGTGCTGCATTGTGTTTAGAATTTTAAACTTTAAAATGCTGCATGGGTTTCGATTCTTTTGAAGCAAAAAGCATGTTTGTGCTCCCCTGCATTTTTGATGTGAAACAGAGCTGCTGATGAGATGCCTCTTTATTCCCCCCCTCTCCCCCCCCAGGCCCCCCCTTGAATTGTTTTTTTTTTTTTGGACAATAAGTTTCTCGATTTATGTGTCATCGTGGATGAGTTTGCAGGGGCCATGCTGCTATGCTAGCCTTCTCTGTATCGTTCCAATTTTTTTAACGGATGTCCCGAAGGAGTCGGAAAGAAGGACCGATGCCTCCTCCGTAATCGAAGTTGTTGCAGGCAGAGAGTCTGATATGGTCGTTGCATGCGGAGGTGGTGAGTATACACAGCAGCCAATTAAAAAAAAAAAAACGGATCATGTGATACGTCAAGCGGCAAGGACAATGTCCACCACTACGCCTGAGGGACCCTGAGTTGCTGGGTCCACAGTGGCTATGGAGGGGCCTGCAGGGTATGCATTCTTTGTGAACAATTTTGCAAAGTTGGAAGAAGAGCGTGCGGAAGGATGCTGCTTTGCTCCGCAGAGCTCAAATTTCCCTGAAATGCTGCACAAGTTTTGAGTTTGAGCCATGTTTCTACTCAATGTTTCCACTCAATGTTTCCACTCAATTTTTCCACTCGATGTTTCCACTCAATCCAGTTGCAATGAAACAGAGCTGATGACGAGTGCCTCCACCTTAATCAATCAAGGTTGTTACATACAGAGTCTGCTGCTATGGTTCAAACTCCAAACTTGTGGGGCGTGGTCCCACTTGCCTGGATTCTTTGCATCCGACCATAAATAAGGAAGATTGATGGCTAGAAAGGAAGGATCTTGGGAAGTGGGACCTCACCCATGTGGAATGTAGGGGACTTGGCAAAGAACAGACTTCTTTTTTTTTTTTTTAATTTGCCAATTTGGACCATTTCTCGATTTATGCGTGTCATCCTTGCGCAGGGCCAATTATGTTAGCGTCCGGACCGCCGTCCAGACGGTCTGGATTCAGTCCGGACTCCAGACGTCCGGTCTGGAAGGTCCGGATCTGGCAAAATTCGAGGGGAAAAAAAAAACAGGGTCCAGGACCCTTCCCCATTGAGGAGCCAAGCCCCCAAAATTGTTTTGGGGGGTTTTCAGGACCATTTATGCTTTTTTGGGGGGTCCGGACATGCTCTCTCTCTGAGGCAAGCCCCCATAATTTATTAGACATTCCCAATTTTTGAAGTATTAATAATGCATTACCTTTCATTAGTTTTTGAAGTCTTTTTTAAAGCTTTTTTATAGTTTTTGACTTGTAACTCAAGTTTGGTTAGGAATTCTGACATGACTCTGAGGCAAAAGTGGTTTGCATTGTTATTCTGCATAGCATACTTTTTTTTTCAGAATTTTTTATTTTTATTTTTTTTTAATGGTCCGGACATTTCCGGACCTGTCCAGACATCCGGACCGTCCGGGTCCCCCCATGTCCTACCGGACATGGGTCTGGTTCCATGTCCGGAAATGTCCGGGTCCGGGTCCGGCGTAGCCATGGTATTATTCCAATTTTAAGCCACCAGTACATCCAGGCCGTGGGCCCTTTTTGGAGGCTGCCGGCCGCCGATTCAATTTATCTACGGTACTGGGCCTCCGAAATTTCCGTAGCCGACGAGTTTTCTTTTCAGCAAGGCTGGGGCTGTGTACTGGCGGTCGGTTTACCGGATGTCCATAAGGACGGGAAGAACAGACTTTTTTTGTGGTGTCAAAATGTCAAATGAGGTGTTTCTTAGATCCCACAATTGCGGCTTCGAAGTTCGAACCCCTTGTCATGAGGTGGTTTTCTGTTTCAGGCGGCTCATGTCTTTATGTTTTCCAAGAAAGAGGGGAAAGAGTCTCAAAGTCCAGCACAAGAATAGCAGGGTTTTCCTCAAAGTTGCTGTCATGGTGGTAATCGCAAATAAAGACTAATGAGGACGACCGTCTTTACCGGAACACAACGCACCGTCGGTCATGAATGTGTGTACAAGCTTCTTTCCAGCCACCAGTGCATTCACGGCGAGGGTTTTTTGTGTGTGCGGGGAAAGACAGGAGGAGGAGGAGGAGGAGGAGGAATTACGATTGATGGGTTTTGTCTAACTTTTTTTTCTTTGTCTCTTTGTTGCATGGGCTAGGCAGTTCTCCAGTGTCTGAGAGATACCAAGATGCGTCTTTCTGACATCGATCGCTGCGTAACTCAAGTACCTCATCTTCTCGGCTGCTCTCCTCAGCGGACAATTTCCTTGTCAATCGCTTACCTCAACAGCCTTGGAATCAAGAGCAAGCGGTTAGGATGGATGCTTGGCGAGAATGTTGCCATTCTAATGGCGAGTCCTCGACAATTACAAAAGGTAAGAAAAACGGATTTTGAAATTCGACGCTGACTGACTTTCAAATGCAGGGGTCAAATTCTGCTGGAGGAGGGAGTCGTGGAGTTTGCCTCTCGCATTCAAACGAAAGGGGAGAGAAGTTTTGGACAAATGTGATTGATCTTTTTTTATGGCGGATGTTATGAAGAAGAAGGCCTACCGAGGACGAAGAAGAGGACAAGGAGAAACACAGGTGGAGAAGGCGGTGGCGGCGACAACGAAGAATAAAAGGATAGCAGAGAGGGAACCTATAGATCGTGATCGTCGACAGTCACGTACAAAAAAAACAGGACAGTAATTAGCGAAGAAAATAACGTCAGCTTGACAAAAGATGAAGGCAACACAAATCATAACATGCACAACTGAGAGATGGAAGAGAATATAAGGGACTAAAGCCTACTCCCTGGCAAGAGATGGGACTAGATGGAGATGTGAAATGTTTTAGGGACGAACAGCTCACGGAAGGAGACAATCAGGTCAGTGAAACAAATCCTGTAGCCTCGATCGTGCTCTCTCATTCCATTGTGGAAGTCGAACAAGTGCGCTCACCGATGCACGGGCTTGAAATTCCACCGCCGATGATCCAAAAGAGATCAGGGATGTCCTCACTCCCTCTTATGTCTTGCTGGATTGATCGGCGCCGAGGCTTTCTTTTACTTATGGGTCAGCAGTTGTGAAGCAGCGAGGGTCGAACTCTTGTATGCGTGTACGCAGCGATAACGGACCAGCAACAATGGACCTGGGAATATGACCACCCTGAGACAACCTGGCGATGAAAAATTCCGATAGGTACGGCTCTGGCCACATATAATGCCAACTGTGGAAGGGGAGTACAATGGCAAAGGACCCCTCCTCATACCCAGAAACCCTACGATGGCAGCCGAAGGACCCCAGTGATTGGCCGTCAACTTTTTCACTGAGGCTCAGGCTCCTCTTGAAAGTGAAGTCCAGCCACCTTGGAGCAGTTCTGCCAAGCCACTTGGTATGGTGGATGTCTATGACTACCATTGCCTACCCAAACCTCTATGTGGTTTCAATTACTCTCTCTCTCTCTCTCTCTCTCTCTCTCTCTCTCTCTCTCTCTCTCTCTCTCTCTCTCTCTCTCTCTCTCTCCCCCCCGCAGCAGATGGTGGGCTGACCCAGATGTCTGAGAACTGAGGGCTTGTCCAGCGGTACAGTATGTGGGCCTGGCAGGCTCTCTTTTATGGCACGGCTGAGCCTCTCGAGCAACTGCGTACTTCCTGACTAGCATCTTTTCCTTCCTCTTGAGCCACCACTACCTCCGAGCCCCTCTTATTGCCGAGGCGGAAAGAGCTGCGCGCCAATCTTTGGCGAAGGGACTGCGAGACTTCTTTTTTTTTTTGTTCTGGATGACACCGCCAACCATTTGGTCTCCGGTGGCGTACTGTGATTTTGAATACCTGTGAAGGGTCACCCTCATAGGGCGAAGATGCCTGTGAAAGGTCACCCTCATAGAGCGAAGATGCCTGTGAAAGGTCACCCTCATCGACCTCTTAAGCCGCTATTACACGGCCCCAGCCTTGCAGTCCAAAACTTGTCGCCACACGAAAAATGAGGCCGAAACGTCAAACGCTGGGGCTGCCGATGATATACTGGATCGGCGATCCCTTTGTCGTGTCGCGGCTCCGGAGTTTAAGGTGTCAGCCTCGCGGCCCAGGTAGCCGTGTGCTGGCGGTTTTAACCACCATGGTTTCACCCTCATAGTCTGAAGGACCAATGGTCAAGTGGCGCTTTCATCTTCGGTCTATGAGGGAGACACCGTGACTATGTAAAAGCTTGCTGTGCTTTTTGAAAGGGTTTCACCCAGTTCGTGCAATAATTGCAGATACCGGGGCTTGATCCCCAGACTTTCCCCAACCCAGTGTACGGTACGTTTGTGTTGTTCGTTGACCCCGTGTGCCTCGAACCCTTGACCTCTCCCCAAACCCGTGTATAAATGCCTTGTGTGTGAAGCCCGGGTCGTGTGGATTTGATCCGTGGGTCTATTGTTTAGAAGTTTTAGGGTCGTCTGCAGGTGTCCCGAAAAGGCAAGTTTACAGTTGACCTTTCGAAAGGTCAACTGGCCATACGCCCTCTGAAAGGTCAGTAGGTCGTGGCTGGCTACCGTCTTCACCCGAATACAACGTACGTTCATTATTGCTGCATCTAGACTCAATTTTGCCTCAAATACAGCTATAATAACGGTACGTTGTATTCGGGTGAAGACGGTAGGTTAGGTCTCGAAGAGTCAATTTGACCTCTCGAAGTCAGTAGAGGCAGGCCGTCAAATCTCTGAAAGGTCGTCAGGAGTCCCAAGTCAACCCCGAAGGGTCACATGAAAAGGCAGTCCCAGTCCTGTCCGTTTTGCAGCAAGTACCAGAGTGGGACTGCACATCTTGAGGGCCTGGGACATCGGGCAGGCCCAGACCACCAAACAAAACAGTATAAATACAGAGGCAGCGATCAGTGATGGACTCATTCTGAGACAAACTACATGGAAGAGCTGCTTGAGTGACTTGTGCTTTGAATCACAGGTGGTCAGCAGGAGAACCCGGGTTGAAGAGGGCAAGCGGCCATAGCCGCTAGGAGGAGGAAGACAACGGCGGCGGCCATAGCCGCCCGTGTGTAGAAAAGATAGAAGATAGAAGATAGAAGATAGAAGATAGTGTTTGTGAGTGCAGACATTCAGGGTCGATCCAAGTGTTGTGTGTGTACGTGCGTGTGAGTGTGTCTGANGATAGAAGATAGAAGATAGAAGATAGTGTTTGTGAGTGCAGACATTCAGGGTCGATCCAAGTGTTGTGTGTGTACGTGCGTGTGAGTGTGTCTGATGGTGGATACAGTGTTCGGGTGGGACTTTCAGACTGGCGCACGGACGCCACAGCCGCAAGATGTGACAAGTTGTCTTGAGCCGAGTTCCTGGCCGAAGGCTGTATCCCTGAGTTCTCTGTGTGGGCGCACTGCGCCATCTCAATCTTGTTGCTGATTCTGCTTTGAGGAAGTTGTTTTGCCATCGGCATCTGCATGTATGCATGTTGGACGTGAAAACTAGACGAGTTTGAATACTTTTAAAGGGTCATCTTTGATCCTTCACTCGCATCTATAAGAGCATTGGTCCTTCTCCAGCCTCTGGTTTCGTGTACAATCCCCGGTGGTCCCCTGTGTTTCTCACAGCAGACAAAATTTTGTACGTCACACTTTTTTTAATTTTAATCAGTAAAAAAAAAAAATGAAATTTAATAAATAATAAATATATTATTTTTCATAAGTTGCAAGTCGTACTGGTGCACTGCCAGACAAACCCTTCGCTCACAGTCAGAGACCACTGGAGATGAAAGCGATTGGAGCAGCCGAGAGTTGTTAGGCTGTGAGCTTACACATGTGAGAGACGGGGGGATTATAGGCTTATCAAGCACAGAAAGAAAAACACACATATGAGGCAATGCCTGTCCCTACACTTCAGACAATCTCACAGCAGCAGATCGTTTGGGAGGGCAAAGGATTAAAAAAAGTATTTAAATTAATAAATTAATAAATTAATAAAATAATTAAAATTATATCAAATATAATATATTCTTCCACGCAAACGAGCAGCTACCAAAAAAATACATTCAGCTTGCACAGCAAAGGTAAGCCGAAAAATGTCACGGTAGAGTCGTGCCTGCCTGTTTGCAATGCTGAATGATACCCCCAGCTTTGGGACTGCTGATCCACAGCGAAGACTTAGGATCCCGTTCAATTCCGGAAGGCTGGGGATGAATCACTCTATGAAAAGGAAACTTAGGCTGGAGGAAAGTGATATAGAAGAAAGGATAAGACACAGCAGCAGGAGGTAGGGTTTAGGGTTTATAATAACTCTATATTAGTCTATAAGGTTTAGGGGATACTGAAAAAAAAAAAAAAAAAAAAGGTTTAGGGGATACTGCAGAAGGGTAAGGCTAAACATTAGTCTGGTCACATTCTATGGATTGTTTCATTTGAGAGCGTGAAGGAGGACAAAGTTTACGATCATCCGCTTGTCTGGGGGTGACAGTAGCATAATTATAATTTTTTTTTTTTTTTTTTGCATTTATTTTTGTTTGTGCTTTATTTGTCTAGTTGCTAGGCTAGCAGAGTGGCCCGGGGTCACTTGCCCGGCCTGGCCAAAAAACAATTAAAAAAAAATAATAAAAAAGATATTTTTAAATTTTATTTTTTATTCTAAATTTGGTGAAGAATTTTGATGTGACCCCGAGGCAACAGTTGTTCAGTTTATTTTCAATTTTTTCTGCACAGCATAGTTTTTTTTCGGATTTTATCATTTTTCTGAGTGTTTTTTTTTTTTTTTT